TTTGATAACAACTATACGTATATAAAATATAAATGAATAATTTATAATTATTTAAAAATAATAAATAATATAGCTTATCAGATTGTTTCATTCATTCATTATAAAAATAGTTAGTAAATTGATTATCTGACATATCCACTATATATTCAAATTGATTTACATTTAGGTAATTATTTAACATATTTTTAAGTTTATTTTGCAAAGGATATAAATTAATTAAAAAGAGTTGCTTAGTTATATTCACAAAGCATGACTATAAATTTAAAATATCAATATAAATCAATTTGACTTTTAATTTAAAATATCGATTATAGTCAATTTGACTTAATCTAATTTTACAATTATGAAAAACATATATCAAAAATTCACAGTGAAAGTTCTTTTTCTTTATTATTACACTGTTTTTTTATTTCATTCTTGATATTACGTAAATTCTTACTAAGTTCTTTTATAAGAAGATATAACTCTTTATATTGAGCAAATAAATATTTATCAATTTTACGATGATGATGATGATGAGAATAATGTTCTAAATTAATATATAATAATTAATATAAGATCAATTTAAAGATATTCAATGATTTAATATCTTCTAATTGTAGATGAATTGGAGATTGATGATGTCTTCTTGATGTGTTCGAATTATTTCAGTATTGAGATGAGTGCGCATTATGATCATTATGATTAGGAGTAGATACTAATATTTGATTAGGAATGAATACCAATGAATGATTAGAAGTGAATACCAATGAATAATTAGGAGTGAATATCAATGATGATGATATTGGAATATAATTATGCATTCCTAGTTTTTCAATATATAAGTAAATAATATACAAATTATATAAAATTATTACCTCTTTTTCTACTCATATTTGAAATTGAGAAAAAAAATATATTCAGATAAAAAGTTATAAAATCAAGTCACAAGAAAAGAAATATGTATATTGTTTTACGATTCTATAAATACATGTAAACTATCTTGAAATAATATTTTATAGATGATTCTCTTTCATATTTTCATATTTGAAATAGCATTTTTATTATTTGGATATATTATTTTAATTGGCAATAAAAATTCCTTTAACTTCTAAATGATTAGGTATATTAATTGATCAGATATATTGATTAGTTATAAAATAATACATAAAATCATGTTTTTATTTAAAGTAAAATATTTAGAGAGTTAATATTTGATTAATTATTATTTTTAGATATTAGTAATAGATTATAATCACAAACAAATATTATTTTCTAATAATAGAATAACATATATTATAATTGAATAATAAATTCAGATTATAATATTAGAGATAGATTATAATTAGCCATATAATATTGACTTCTAATAATAGAATAATATATATATAATTGAATAATAAATTTAGATCATTACAAATTGATAATTATTAATTAAATTATATAAACAGTGCCAAAACTCTAACAAATAATATTATAATAATTTACATATAAAATAAATTATTTAAAATTGAGCCACTTTAAGATATAATAATTTGGTCATTATTCAATAAATTGCAATATCTCTTTACTAAATAATATAATGATAATATTTTCAAATAATTCTAATTGATTGTAATTAAGATATTGAGTTCAAAAACTGAACTAAATACTTGCAATAATAATAATTAACTTTAAGAGACAAAAATTTAGTTATTTACTAATTGAAATAAAATAAATATCATGTAATTCTATAAACTAAACTAATAAATAATAACAATTTCAAATGATAGATAAATAGTATAAAAATCGATCAAAAAAAAATTCAGCAAAATATAGAGATAATATTTTGATTAATTTTTATCATAAAAATAAAATAATATAGGAGCTCAGTAAAAGAATGATAAAATAAATATGAATCAATTCAATTAGCTTGCAATATATTATTTTATGTAAATGCGTAATATATTAATTAAATAAATATAATATATATTAACAAATCAATAATTAGCATCGATCATGATTGTATTATCCAAAATAAAACTGATTTCTAACAATACTCATTGATAATCAATCATTAACATCCTCACTAAAGATGCTTGCCTAAATTCTTTCAGAAAAATATCGTCATAATTTTGACGGGTTACACACTAATTGTTAATTAGAATTTTGACATAATTTCGGTTACGACGGGTTTCAAAATTCGTCAGAATTTCGACGGGTTATTTACTAATAGTTTATTATAATTTCAACAGAATTTAGACAGTCACTAAGGGATTTCGGCAAGCAACCTTAATCCTCACTAGGGATGATGTAGCAAGTATGTGATACTTATTTGTCACCCATTGCAACACGTTGCAACTCCAAAATTTTATAAGCTGCAACTAGGTGATGCTTTATTTGTCATCACATTGCAACAGTTGTCATGCCATTTTTAATTCTCACCAATCATTCTTTAGCATAATTACATTCAAATACTAACTATATGTATTGACAATTAATTATAAATCACTTCAATTGGCAATCAATTATCAATACTTCAACTAATTAACATTGATTATGATTATAAATGATTACAAACTATTCTTATTGGTAATCAATTATTAATTATGTTCATTGACAATCAAGCATCAACAATCTACTGATTGATAATGATCATGATTGCAATTGATTGCAATTAATTCTCGCTGATAATTGATTAGCTACCTTATATATTGACAATTGATTTTTAACATTCTCACTGATTGACATTGATCGTAATTGTAATTGATTGCAAACAGAACTTGTTAACAATCAATTGCTAACAATTTTCATTGATAATTAATCATAATACATCATTATTTTCCATCACTAGCGGTTGTAATCGATTGCTAATGATGTTCTTCGATAATTTTTGATCACAATCAATTGTCAATGATTATAATTGATTATAATCACTAATAATTGATTGTAATTCCTATCGATGATGAACAATGAAAATGTTGATAATTGATTGCTAATGAGCATGATTATAAATCAATTGCTAACAGGTATAAAAATTTTCTGATAAATATGATAATTTAATTAATAAAAATATATAAAAATTTTGTGCAATCAATAAGAATATAGCAAATTTTTGATTAATTTAACAAAACAAGTTTGATATAAAAAAATAAAAAAAACAAAAATACAAAAACAAATATTTAAATCTAGCTTGATACACTATTAAAAAAATGTTAAGAAAACAATTTTATATATAATATTATAAATTTTAGTAAAAATTCATTAATTAAAAAATGTATCAAAAATAATAGAAAAATTAAAAATCTCAAAAATATTAGAAAAATAATAATAATTCATAAATAATTATATAATTATCTTTTATTTTTATTAAATTACTTATTATATTTTATCTATTTATATTAATATTTGTCTATTTATATTATTTTAATCTCTTTTAATCCTTTTCTATCTTTTTTTATCCTTTTGATCTCTTTATATTTTATATAATATTTCTTTTTAACCCTTTTTTATTCTTTTAATTTCTTTTATATCCTTTTTTATTTTCACTCAATATAGGTATAATATTTTTTATTACTTTTGATAAATATTATTATTTTATATTAACAAATTTTGTATAAAAACACTATCTATAGTTAGAAAATAAAATTTTTGTATAAATATAAGTGCTATATCAACACATACTCTCTCATATTTTTCCAATTTTAATAAATATAACCTAATTTATAATATTAATTATTATATTGGATACTATATTTATCTTTTATTTTGAATCTAATTCAAAATAATCAGCTAAAATAAGTTGAAATCAAATATCAAAGCTTGTTAAATCAAGTTAGTTTTCATTGAAATTGTTTATAATTATTATATCAAGGATATATTTTATGGAATAATTGATTTGTTATTGTGTATTGATATTTGATTTGTTATTTTTGATATTATTTTGATTAATTGTACATTGCAACTTTAAATAAATAATTTTCTTTTAGTATTTATATTATTTTGATAGAAATAGGTCCATTAAAATATCCGATTAATATCAAATATCAAGTATTAGGGTTAGGATTAGATTTGAGATCAAGATTATATAAAAATTGGCTTTCCGATATTTTTGATAATGTGTCAAGCTAGATTTAGATATTTGTTTTTTGTATTTTTGTTTTTTCTTGTATCGGATTTGTTTTGCCGGGTTAATCAAAAATTTGCTACATTCTTATTGGTTGCGTATAATTTTTGTGGGTTGGATTTGTTTATTATCAACCTTTTTTTTACTTCTTTTCGTATCGTTGACGTCATCTAAGAATTATCACGTGCTCCGAATTTTTGGTGGTCGCCCTGGCGGATTCAGTTCCGACGGCCGGACGTGTCGGAGATCGTTAAAACACGTGTTCCGGTGGCCGAACGAGCCAGAGATCGTTAGAACACGTGTTCTGACAATTTGACGCCCTAGTGTTGCGCGTAGATTTTAAATTTTAAATTTGCTTACTTCTTATTTTGAGTTAATTCTTTCATTTCAAAGTACATTCATTAATGGGAAATAGAAAGAAGCGCACAAGTGCTTTTAAACCAACTCTCAAAAAAGGAATGGAATACATTACAAGCAACACTGAAAATGAAGCAAGCAACAAACGCGCCTACCAACCATCACCAACTCGTGGAGAAGAAACAAGAAAACGGTCGCGTCTTGCTTTAACTGACTCTGACAAATCTTGGCAAAATAATTTGCTAAATACGGTCAACAATTTTGAAGACAAAGATAAAACTAAAGTTGTCGATGACGGTAATGTTTTTGAGAAAGACGCAAGCCATTTGGAAGATGAAAATACAGGCGTGAATTCGGGCGAAGCGGAAGATGAAAATACAGGCGTGAATTCGGGCGAAGCGGAAGATGAAAATACAGGCGTGAATTCGGGCGAAGTGGAAGACGGAAGTACAGCTGTGAATTCGGGCGAAGTGGAAGATGGAAATGCAAGTGTGAATTCGAGCGAAGTGGAAGACGGAAACACAGGTGTGAGTTTGGGCGAAGTGGAAGAAAATAAAGAGGAAATTAAAAATGTAGTATCCGATAAAGAAATAACGCGTAAGTAATATCCTTTTATCGCGTCTAATTCTAATATGACGCGAATTTCTACTTATTACAATATTCTTTTCATACAATACAGCTGTCAAAACACAAATCGAATCTTCCTCTACTTCTGACACAATTGATCTTACTCGGAACGTCGCGCCAGAATTTATTCCCTCTTCATCAAAGATTCCTGATGAATTCGATTTGGTGATTGGAAGTACAACTAACTTTCTTGAAGCTGGGCCTTCTAACGGTACTTTGACATAAACTTTTCATGTTAAATCATATTGATTATAAGATTTAAATATTTTAATACAATAGAACCTGTCGGGCTTTCACGAGAATCGTCATTCCTTAGAGCAGCTGATGCCTTAACCTTAGATGACACCGAATTAGAAGACGATGATGATTCCGATTCATCTGCTAAAAAATTTTGTGAAAACAAATTACAATTATTGAAAGCACAATATCGGAGAACAACTTCAGCTACATCTTCGCGCAAATCTCAAGAGGAGCGATTGCTCGCCTTATTAGAAGAAATTAATAAAGCTGAAACCTTAGACCCACAAGATCGAGTCGGTACGCCGGAAAACCTGATTCCCACATTGATGGAGCATCAAGTAATCGGTTTAACTTGGCTGATAAAGAAAGAAGAAAGTACCAATCATGGAGGAATCTTAGCCGATGAAATGGGTCTAGGCAAAACTATCCAATCAATGGCACTAATATTGGCACGTCCTTCTCAAAATAATACGCGAAAACCAACGTTAGTAGTAACCCCTGTCTCGCTAATGCATCAATGGGCTCATGAGTTTGAAACTAAGACCCGCGGTTTAAGTGTTTTTGTGCATCACGGCAAGAACCGATTATCAAGCAATAAAAAGTCCCAAAAATATGATGTCGTTATCACAAGCTATCCGACTGTCGCCGCGGAATTTGAATCAAGATCAGCACCACTTATAAAAACTAAATGGCACAGAGTCATTCTCGATGAAGCCCAATCAATTAAAAACCAGAAAACAAAAGCAGCAAAAGCTTGTTGTTCTATAGACAGTTTATATCGCTGGTGTTTATCGGGCACTCCCATCCAAAACAATATCGAAGAGTTGTATTCGTTGATTAAATTCCTTCGAATTGAACCTTATTGCGATTGGAAGGAGTTTAGACAAGACTTTATCAAACCATTCTCTACTAGGAATCACTATGCAAACGAACTCATGACGAAGCGATTGCACGTGGTCTTGAAATCAATTCTTTTAAGAAGAAATAAGAACACAACAATCAACGGGAAGCCAATTATTGTTCTACCTCCTCGTGATGTTCAAATCGCGAACACCGAATTTACGCCTGATGAACGCGAATTTTATACGGCTTTGGAGACAAAGAGCAGACTAACTTTCAGCCGATATTTAAAAGACGGATCAGTAATGAGGAATTACTCGAATATCCTTTTATTATTACTTCGGCTTCGACAGGCGTGTTGCCACCCTTATCTTATTAAAGACCGCCATGAAACTGAAGGTGATGGCGAAAATAGTTCACAAGTTAGTTTGGAGGATATTTTCACGAAATTATCGGAAGACATCGTAACCAGATTGAAAGAACAAAATCTTGATCAAAAGGAATGTCCTATTTGCTATGATTCGGCTGTGGATCTTTCGATAATTGTAGGATGCGGTCATTCTTATTGTCGTGAGTGTTTGGATAGTTTGGTAATAAATCAAGACGTCAGAACATGTCCAGAATGTCGGGGTAAGTTCACTATAAACGACATACTTCCGTACTCTTTTCTCAGGAAGAAATGGACTACTGATGATGAAGACGATGATGAAGACGAATATAAGGAGTCCAAAAGCAAGAAAGGAAAAGGAAAGGCCAAAGCTGAAGACGAATATAGATATAAACTACCATCTATAATTCCGGAAATAGAAAATTGGGTGCCAAGCACTAAAATTGAGCGTACAATAAGCCTCATCAAAGAATTTAAAAGTAAAGCGCCAAGCGATAAGACCATCATCTTTAGCCAATTCACCACATTCTTGGATCTGGTGGCATTTCAACTTCATGAAAATGACTTCAAATTTGCCCGGTATGATGGGAAAATGGACACCTATCAACGAAACGCAGCTATCAAGGCCTTTGAGCAGCAAAACGATTTGAATATTTTATTAGTCAGTTTGAAATGTGGCGGGGTTGGATTGAATTTAACAGTTGCAAATCAGGTGATCATGTTAGATCCATGGTGGAATCCTGCGATGGAAAATCAAGCCATTGACAGAGTTCACAGAATAGGACAAACGAAACCCGTTGAAGTACATCGAATCATTATTCCCAACACTATCGAGCAAAAAATCCTTGATCTTCAAGAGAAAAAACAGCAATTGGCGTCAAAGGCATTAGGTGAAGGTGGAACAGCACAACTTGGTCGTCTTGGGCTTCAAGAATTATTATATCTATTTCGAGACTAAATTCATCTTTGTTAAACAAATTCATTTCTTTATAAGGTCTCATGATTTAGTCGAGGAATATTTTAAGTGAATAACATGAAAATACCCTTTTTAATAATAACCTGTCAATTAAGATAATATGCAATCACTTTTATTTTATATGTATTCTTGCTGCAATTAATAAAAAATTTAATCGTAACTTGGTTGGCATCAGTAATCAATTCTCCGAAACTAAGAAATGGCATTTCTATCGTTCATGGTTTGCTTAAAATGGTGTAACATCAAGATTATCTCTATTTCAAAGTTACTTTACCCATGTCTTCAATTTCATACACTTCAAGTAAGTTCATGCTTCTTTGAGACTGTCCAGATCTCTTAACTTAAACGCTAAATTTATCATTTACAGCCAATAAACTTAGTAGAGAAGATTATCGCAGACAAAAAGATCTTGAGGCGGCGCGAAAGGCTGGTACCGCGCCTGCAGAACAAGATGAGGAAGGAAAAGACATTAACCCTCATATACCGCAATACATTGCTAAAGCACCATGTAGGTTTCAAGGAATAATTTTGATATTTCATTTTTTGATCCGTGAATAAATAGTTTATTGACTTGCAGGGTATATTGATACTGGAAGACCTACCTTAAAACATCAGAGAGTTCAAAGTAAAGAAGCTGAAGAGAAACCAGAGGAAAAGTGGTACTCTCGTGGTCTTCGAGCTGTATGTTTGTTTTTCATTACTTGATTGAATTTATGTAATTTTCTAAGAAAATTGTTTTTTCAAAAAAAAAAAGGGACCAGCAGCTACAAAATATCGTAAAGGTGCTTGTGAAAATTGTGGTGCTATGTCTCACAAAACAAAAGATTGCATGGATCGGCCAAGAAAAACAAAAGCGAGATGGACAGGTCAGGACATAAAGGTATCAGTGAAAATAGTATCATTATTTATTTAAAGCATCCATATAAAAATTACAAATAAAATGAAAATGTGATTATTAATTGCGTTTTTGCTATTAGCCCGATGAAATAATTGAAGAGTTAGAATTAGACTATGATTCTAAACGCGATCGGTGGAATGGTTATGATCCAGCAGAGCACGCAAAAATATATGAAGGTAGATGATTGAATTCAGAATTTTGTTTTCAATATTGAAGCTCCGATTAATATGCTTATTATACTTATTATACGATGTGTTCTATTCATAAATCATAGAATATGAAAAAATTGAAGAAGCTCGTCGCAAACTGAAAGCGAGTGAACTCGATAAACAAAGCACTATCGAGCTAGTAAAGAAGACTGGTGAACGTGTCAATGGTGATATTTCTACCGATGATGAAGAAGAGGATGAAGATAAATATGCAGAAACCTCAGATATGCCAGGCCAAAAAGTAAACACTAAAACGAGAACTACTATAAGAAATTTAAGGTATTTTTTAATTTTTGTGATTATTGATGAATTATATACATTCTTAATGATATTATTTTTATTATCATCTCTTTTTAACAGAATTCGAGAAGATACAGCAAAATATTTACGGAATTTAGATTTGAATTCAGCATATTATGATCCAAAGACGCGTTCTATGCGCGATAATCCTAACTTGGGAAAAGATGAAGAAGACGTAAGTCTAAAAATATTTTTTTTTTATATCAAACATAGAAATGCATTGCTCAATATTGTTTTCATATTCTAGGCTGTCTATGCTGGTGATAATTTCGTGCGATACACTGGAGATGCTCCAAAAATGGCAAACTTGCAATTGTTTGCTTGGCAGGCATATGAAAAGGGGAACGATGTTCACTTACAAGCAAATCCGACCCAAGGCGAATTATTACATAGAGAATATCTTCAGAAAAAAGAGAAACTTAAGGATACAAGTAAAGATTCGATTCTAGCAACATATGGCGGTGAAGAACATTTGAATGCACCACCCAAAGAACTCTTATTAGCTCAAACTGAGAGTTATGTGGAATATTCGAGAACTGGAAGAATCATTAAAGGACAAGAAAGGGCAAAGGCTAAGTCTAAATATGAAGAAGATGGTGAGTATTCTTTTTTTATCCGTTCGAGAATTTAGGGAAAATAATAGAAGTTACAATATCAGTGATCTATCAATGTATTTATTATTTAAAAAGTTGGATGTGGATGTTATAGTTGCTCACCCATCATTTACAAGGGATTGAAGCGGGTGTTTTGTTTTGAACTTGACACCTTAAAGTATAACCATTATGATCTTAACGCCAATACCTTGAACGTAGTTTTCAATAGTTTGGGGAGACACGTTCAATACAACAAACTTTACTACAAGATTTCTTAAGGATCCTCAAAAATTGGCTAATATAAAGATAGATAATAATAATAATAATAATAGCAATGAATTTATCATTGATCTAAATTCAGATCAATGACGGAATAGTCAAAATAATATCTAGAGATGAAAAATACTGGATCTTTGGCAGTTTGGAAAGAAACCTCAAATTTTTATAATTAATTGGATCTATTAACCTTAATCATTTTCTTTTTTCAGTATTTATAAATAATCATAGTACAATATGGGGTTCATTTTGGGCTGATGGTCGTTGGGGATATAAATGCTGTCGATCTTTTATGAAGAATTCATATTGCACAGGATTGATAGGAATCGAAGCTGCCATTGCTGCCAAATTTGGTGCTCATAGGTATGAATCGAATAGCCAGACAATATCCAGCTCATCCACCTCCGAAAAAACTGAACAAACAAAAACATTAATGGAAATCCATGCCGAACAACTCAAAAAATCTGCCAGCAATAGCAAAGAAGGAATTGAAGAAAAAGACGTCAATATTCATCTGAAACGCAAAGGATTGGGTGAAGGTGATATCCAGTTAGACAGAAAGAAATTGAAAAAGGCGTTAGATAATGAACAACGAAGGCTTAATCTGCAAGTGGATGCCGAAGAATTGGATGATAGAAAGCGACCATACAATAGTGCCTATAACAATAAATTGGATATTCGATCTGCCAAAGAATCTGAAGTTACTGAGGAAGAGTTGGAAGCTTATCGTCTCAAGAAAATATCGTGAGTATTTATTTCATATGATTCGCTATTGAATTTGAATTTTTTTAATGAATCTTTAATGTATTTCATTAATAGGCATGAGGATCCTATGGCCAATTATGTCGATGATAACGACAATTAATTGAATTTTCATCTTATTTAAATATTTATATATATTATTATTAGAATGAAAGTTTTCAAATTTTCATTTGTATCACCTGTTAAAATTAAATAAGTAATCTAGCAATGGCATCAAAAGTTAGATTTTCGTTAAAGCTTTCGGTCTATGAGTTGGTTCGAACTTTCATTTTAAACAAGTTTGAATATTTTAATGAGGGAAAAAATGTGCGACAGAAAGAAAGTTCATCGGTCTTGAAGATAACCGATCATGTTTCCAAAAGTTTCCTGAATAGTATAGATAATAGATTAGAAGAATGTCAACAAAATGAGTCAAGAACTTTATATTGAGATTATTGGAAGGTTCGATCATATCATGAATCCAGACAATTTTTCTTATAAAGAAATCTATCCAATTATTTGGTCTTTTGGAAGAACTGTCAAGTTCACGTCCCAATTGGCGCAAATCTACTTGTCTTAACTATAATATGGAAGTATCATTTGAAGGGAGCCACCACCACGTATGACATACAGATCGTCATATCGAACGTTGCCATTATCAATTTCCAACCTATAACATCACGACTGTTGTTAAAATTCCCGTTGTTGTTGATAAAGAAGACCCTTGTTCTTCATCTCTGCCAGCACCACCGCAATTCATTACTTCACCATTATATATTCTCTGGTTTGGATGTTCTCATAGAAAACTTTAATTTGGCGAAAGCGCTCCGAGAAAAATGATTTTCCACCAACAATTCTGATTCAACGTCGATGCAAAATCTTAAATCCTAATGACCAAAGAGTTGAACAATCGATAAAGGAATACAATAGTGAAATTCATCACTGGTTTCTTGAAGATTCCCGTAAGGAAGGTGCAAATGGTATAATATTATTACGTCATCCAGCACCGTTAGAATATTTAACGAGATACATGTATTTGGTGGATATCGATATTTCCCAGATGTATATTTTACCACGTCTGCATCTTACATAACTTCGATATTCGAATTAATTTGCTTTTATTATTTCATGGAGGTCATTTGCAAGTTTATCTATCACATGAATGTATTGTTCGAGTGGCAGCACGAAAATATAATTCGAAAGACGATGATGTCGATGCACATTTAACCAATATTTGCTTTCAATTGAGAAGAGGACATGGACAAGAACGAGTTTATTTCAAGAATGGTGGCCATCTCTTTATGCGCAATCATTCCCACGTATTATCGATTCAATGAATGACGTATTGAGAACATTGCGTGGACAATTAAAAATCACGCGAGTTCACATTACTTGGTGGTGATATTTTAATTATAAATCCTGGTTATTGGAATTTAATTTTTCTCCAAGTATGTTCCATGAAGTTGAGATAGTATACATGTTAGTAAAAAAGTGATCAAATTGAAGTATTTCGGGAAGGAGATGGTGGCGATGAAAAATGCGAATGTGAATGCATGGGCAAAGATGTTGAATATATATCGATATTATATAATCTGATCCTAATCTAACCTAATCCGAAATTTTAATTAATATTTGACATCTTGTAATAGGTATACATAAATAAAATACTATTCAGTCGTTATTTTAATTTCATTGAATCGTTTTATACGTTCCTCAACTTCTCGCATTTTACTCAATCTTTGTGACTCATGTTCAGCCTCTATGTGTTTTTCTTGTTCAAGTTCTAAACGCGCTTCCATTTTCGATTTTTCTATAGACGCTTGTCGCTTTTTTTTAATTTGTCGTTTTTTGAATTTTGTCGAAATAATTGTAATGGTAGGTTTATTGGTAGAAGCATCAGCGATTGTGGATTCATTTTCTATTGAAATTTCTGAATCGATGATGTTTGGTATTGTTAATATTGAATTGTCAGAAGAATTTGAAATTTCTGAATCGATG